ATATATATGAGAAAAGAGTATTGCATGAGTTAATTTTCTTTTACCTTAGGTAATGTTCATACCAAAGAAATTTAAGACATTTTATCTCAAAAGATAATGTAGTGATACGTAACACTTCACAAACTCAAGACGTGCGACCTTACCGTGGGCTCTGCCTAGTAACAGCTCAGGCGCGAGGTAGTCGGGGGTTCCTAGAATTCGTCCATCATCAGCTGGGGCCGCCCCTCTTCTCACGCTTTTTGGAGTTCGGTATGGAGTTCCTGACTTGATCTGACCTGGGGTGTGCTAATGCAAAATAAGTTTAAGAGACAACAAATATCTTAATTCCTTTTACAGTGAACAGCAATGCTGAAACAATCAAAAAAGCTAGATCATAGGCTGGTAAGCATAAAAGATGTACTCAAATCCTTGATCAGTTTTAAAAATGGACTCATACCTAGTTATAATTATGAAAAAGTCCTTATGTCTAATGAAGTTTAATAGCTCAGATAACATTCATTATTTCAATAAGATCTGGATATGTAAGAAACAATGAACAAATCTGTAACTAAAATGTCTTGATAGCATGGATTAATATAAGCTTAAGAAGAGCCACTTAGGAAGGCTTATGTCTGACAAATGATTGATGAGGATAATACATAAGATAGAACTAAATAAAAATAACCGCTTGAACTAAATGGCACTTAAAAGTTTTTAGGATTATTTGTTGTTTCACAACATTTTCGTGAGGCCAGGGGGACAGGCACAATTATCCCCTACAGACAGTTGGAAAAACAGGGTCTGAGGTTAAGGGACTTCTAAGGCACTTAGTAAGTCCTGGATAGAAATCCAAGTTTCATAACCTGAATCCAGGGTTTACACTTTTTATGTGATGACGTCTCTCCAAAGGAAGAAAAAAATGAAACTTTGGGTTGGTAAAGGTTTACAAAATAAAAACAAGATTTGAGGCTGGGTGCGGTGGCTCATGCCTGTAATCCTAGCACTCTGGAAGGCCGAGGCAGGCGGATCATTTGAGCTCAGGAGTTCGAGACCTGCCTGAGCAAGAGCGAGACCTCATCTCTACTAAAAATAGAAAGAAATTAATCGGACAACTAAAAATATATAGAAAAAATTAGCCGGGCATGGTGGCGCATGCCTGTAGTCCCAGCTACTCAGGAGGCTGAGGCAGGAGGATCGCTTGAGCCCAGGAGTTTGAGGTTGCTGTGAGCGAGGATGACGCCATGGCACTCTAGCCTGGGCAACACAGTGAGACTATGTCTCAAAAAAAAAAAAACAAAAAACAAAAGTCAAGTGCACCTAGATGCCTAGAAGCCAAACATCTACTATCAATTTACTACAAGAATTTCAGTAAAGCAAGAACAATTTCACAACTGAATGAGAAATGAAATATTTCAAAAGAATTTAACAGAATGTATAGGAAAATGAAAAATTTTGGATAATGCCTTGACTATCATACATGTAACAATTTCATTCCCTTATGGAATTTATATGAAAAGGTGTCGTGTTTCTATCATTCACTTTACATACGCAATTGGTTTTGGTTAAGAGAAATTTCCGTCGAACCTGACAATCCTGTTCCCACTTGGGACTGCTGTGGCATTCTGATTCCACGCTGGATATGAAGGTGTGGGATTGACTACTGGCGCTGGACGTAGCCAGCCTTTTCCTAGACTGGAGTAGGTTAGAAGTTAGACACTTCACAGGTATTCCTGGGTTAGAGGCAAGTGTTTCAAGACCTGTTAGGAAGAGAAAATGTTGAAGCTTATGTCACAGCTTTCTTAGTTCTTTATTGAACCTGAATCTTTACAGATAATTAGGCACAGTATTAGGGATTGCATCACAGAACTATTTCTTTGTAAACACTATCTAGTCCACGAGGATGGCTGCAGGTGCTTCTGGCATGTTTCTCATTATGTTTAGATACATAAATTATTACAAATATAAATGCTGCTATGAAAGTTACAACAAAATAAAATCCTGTTAACATCTGTACAATAAAAATGAGGACAGGCTGGGAGCAGTGGCTCACCCTTATAATCCTAGCGATCTGGAAGGCCAAGTCTGGAGGATCACTTGAGCTCAGGAGTTGGAGACAAGCCTGAGCAAGAGTGAAACTCCATCTCTACAAAAAATAGAAAAATTAGCTGAGCGTGGCAGCATGCACCTGTGGTCCAGGCTACTTCACAGGCTGAGGCAGGAGGGTCGCTTGAGCCCAGGAGTTTGAGGTTGCTGTGAGCTACAGTGACGCCACTGCACTCTGGCAGGAGCAACAGAGCAAGACTCTGTCTCCAAAAAAAAAAGGGGGGGGGGGGGGAACAAGGAAGGGAACTAATTTATAATTAGGAGGAAATAAATTTTGAGTATTTATGACCATTATTGCCATGCTATATTCAGATGTGCTATAAAGTTAGAATGTGACTAAATTTACTCAATTCAACTTGTGGTTAATTAAAACTAGCTTCATTGTAATGTTAAAGTTTATGTGCTTACAAGTGTAAATTATACAGACTAATAAGGAGTTTTCGTAATACTACTGGATAAAGCAAGTAATGGTAAGTTGGCTGAGAGCGAGCTGGTAATCAGGCACTGCCTGCATGATATCTGCCCCTTTATCATTATAAATAAATAATGGTGCTAAAAACAGTGCTCCTCAATTCACAATTAGACACAATAAGCCAACTGTGCTTTTACTAAAGAACATAATATGTGAATATAAAGATTTTATATGTATATAAAAATATCTGTGTATCCTGTTTTCTTTTTCCCATAATCTGAAGGGAATTCTTAGTCTGATAGCTTTTTAAAAAGTTTTTTGATAGAGTCTCATTCTGTTGCCTGGGCTAGAGTGTCGTGGCGTCATCCTAGCTCACAGCAACCTCAGACTCCTGGGCTCAAGCGATCCTCCTGCCTCAGCCTCCCGAGTAGCTGGGACTACAGGCATGAGCCACAACGCCTGGCTACTTTTTCTATTTTTAGTAGAGACGAGGTCTTGCTATGTGGCTCAGACTGGTATTGAAGTCCTGGCCTCAAGTGATCCTCTCATCTGGGACTTCCAAAGTGCTAGGAATACAGGTGTGAGCCAGGGCACCCAGCCATTTTTTGACCTAATAAATCTTAGAATGTTAAAGTTGGAAGAATTTTGAAGTCCATTATAATCCAACTTTCTTTTAGGAACACAAATTCTTTCAACAGAATTACTAAAATTTATTGGACACTGACCTTCATATTTGACTGAACTGTTCAGCTGCCTCCCACCAGTTACATGGGAGCTTGTGTCTAACCTAATGCCATGTACATGCTGTATATTTGTTAATGAGGTGTTTTTTTTTTTTTTTTTTTGAGACACAGTCTTACTCTGTTGCCCTGGGTAAAGTGCAGTAGCGTCATCATAGCTCACTGCAACCTCAAACTCCTGGGCTCAAGCAACTCTCCTGCCTCAACCTCTTGAGTAGCTGGGACTACAGGCGTGCAACAAGACGCCTGGCTAATTTTTCTGTTTTTAGTAGAGACGGGGTCTTATTCTGCTCAGGCTGGTCTCGAACTCCTGAGCTCAAGTGATCCTCCCGCCTCGGCCTCCCAGAGTGCTAGGATTACAGGCATGAACCACCATGCCCAGCCTGCTAATGAGTTCTTTCTGGATCACTGATATTAAATCATTCCCTACTTTGGAACTTTGGATAGCTCCCTGTTTTCTATAGCTTAAATCTTGGTATTCCTAGAACGACACTTGATCCTTCTCCATCTCCCTGCCAAGATTCCTTTCCTACTGCCCATGCTTCCCTTTCCCACACATCGCATTTAGTCTCTACTGTCTCAAGGTGGAATAGACTTTCATATGTTCACGTCTTTCCACACGCTGGTGCCTCTATCTGAATGCCCTTTTTCACCATCCCTGTAGCTAAGAAGTTCCTGCTTCCCCTTCTGGGTCCAGTTTGGCTGTCACTCCATCTCTATTTACAACCATTCTGGATTCTTCCCAGTTAGCATCTGTCACTTACTATGTTGCATTCTGGTATCCCTCTTGTGGCATTTATTTTATAGGGCTGTTATTGTTATCCCTTTACACCTGTTCTTACATAAAATTACAAGTTCTTCTGAGGCCAGGACTGCTCTTATTCATTTTTACATCCATCAAGTGACCAGCACAATGCCTTACACCTACCGAGTTCTGACAAGATTAAAGAATGACTAAGGAAGATGCAGTTATTTTTCCTGAAGAAAATAACATCTTCATATTTCGTATTTTATCAGTCTTGTTTATAGAAGCTATGTATTTTTTTCAGCCATGTAATTTGACAGCAGAAATAAGACATTGAATTTGGAGGAAAAGGCTCACTAGTCAGAGAATTATATTCGCAATCAGGACTTGCCTTACCCAGTTACTAGTGTATAATGAAATATTTTCAAATGTTAGTTTTCTCATTTGTGAAAAGGAGGCAATACTACATATACATCCTAGATATGTACAGATTTGTTGAGTACCGAAATCAAAATGAGATAACATCTGTGAAAACGACTAACAATGATCACCCTTCAAAGCATTATTCACATTCCTCAGATGAAGAACGTGAGTTTAGACAACTAAATTGCCAACTGTCGCTGAGTTAAAAAGGGTGAAGTCAAGTGTTATACAAATATAAATCTGTCCCACTCATCTCTATTATTTGACATTTGTCTTTTGTTATATGCGAAAATATCTTTACTTCGAGTTTTAAATTTAAGCTACATCAGAAGATTTTGGAAATAAGTTTATAACTATACACAATACTGCAGATACTACATCTTCCCTGTGTAAATTTCTAAAGACCCAGTACAGTGAAATTTACCCAATGATCATTCTATATTACAGATAATTGAAGGATACCTCATTACCTAGACCAGGGGTGAGAAACCTGTGGTCTTAAGGCCACATGTGGACCTCTAGGTCCTTAAGTGTGGCCTTTTGACTGAATCCAAATTTTACAGAACAAATCTTTTATTTTTATTAATAGATTTTTGTTCATCTTTTATTTTTATTTTTTTATTTATTTATTTATTTTTTTTGAGACAGAGTCTCACTGTGTTGCCCGGGCTAGAGTGCCGTGGCATCATCCTAGCTCACAGCAACCTCAAACTCCTGGGCTCAAGCGATCCTCCTGCCTCAGCCTCCTGAGTAGCTGGGACTACAGGCATGCGCCACCATGCCCGGCTAATTTTTTCTATATATTTTTAGTTGTCCAATTAATTTCTTTCTAATTTTAGTAGAGACGGGGTCTCGCTCTTGCTCAGGCTGGTCTCGAACTCCTGAGCTCAAGCAATCCGCCCGCCTCGGCCTCCCAGAGAGCTAGGATTACAGGCGTGAGCCACTGCGCCCGGCCCATCTTTTATATTTTTATTTTTAAAATGAACATATATAAAATGCCAAAGGGTAAAATAAGTTTCAATGAAATAATCCTCCCAGATTGACCAGCACAATTAGAATATTAATAAGCCATAAGGGCTAAATTTACAGCTGCTACACTTATATTTAGTTCTAACTTCCCCTGCCTGACTGGTGCCACGACCACATGAGGCTGGCTGGCGAGAGTTTATGGGGGTTGAGTATGCCAGGGTGTTATCAGCTTTTGACAATGGTGCACTGTGTTTCTGTTTGAAGTGGAATTTGTGAATAGTTGCACAGCACGACAATATTATTATTTTTTTTTTACGACGATATTTTTTAATTCTGTCTGCCTAACAGGCCATGTCAAAGAAGACCAAGAGAACGCTGAAGGAAGAAAACAGATTTTTTAATGAGGATTGGGAATGGCATTATTATCTTCTTTCTGCTAAAGATAAGATGATTTGCTTGCTTTGTGATACTACAATATCAACATTAAAGAAATTCAACGCTCATCAGCATTATAACACTCATAAGGACCACAAATATTTTAAATTAGAGGGAGAGGTGCAAAAGGTTGTATTGCAGAAATTCAAAGATGAAAAGCAAAAGCAAAGTCACTTCTTTCAGGCAGCAATAAGACCTGGAAATAATGTCACTGAAGCAACTTATAAAGTAGCTTATATACTCAGGGAAAAGAGGGAAGCCACTCAGTGATGTAGAAATAGTACAAACAATTGCCTTTTTCAAGGAGAACCATAACTGATCGGCAGCATGAATTTGGCTTCAACTTAACAGAACAACTTCATGCAATACTTCAAAAGGAAAATATTTATCATTCAATCCCTTCGGATGAATCAATTGATACTACTAACTCGGTGCAGTTTTATATTTCATTTGGGTTGTTACAGAAGATTTTCTTTGCTACAAAGAGTTACTCACTTTGGGCACTCTTGCTAACAGAACATGGGTAATAGGTATCTTCAACAACTTTCAAGATAAATGTCGTGAAGTTGGACTGAATTTGGTAAATTTAGTGAGCGTACAGATGGGGCCCCTTCCATGACAGGAAAACATGAAGGGCTTATTGCACAAATAAAAAAAGTATTAACAAATTTAGATGCTCTCATTTCTTTTCATTGTATCTTGCATCAGTAAAATCTCTGGCTAAAGCTACTATTTTAAGTGACACTTTGCAATAAGTTATAAGTATTGTTAACTGTATTCCTTCAAATGCAACACTGGCATCACCAATTTTGTAACATGCTAAAGTTGAACTATGAGGTATTCAGTGTGGATTTGCAGTATCATTTTAAAGTGCATTGGCTATTGCAGGACAGGTGTTAGTCAAAATTTTATCTCTGCGAGAACAAATAG